GAGATAAGCAACAAAAAGGGGGCCAGGAGGATATTCAAGTTAACCAAAATGTTGCTCTGCTGAATTCTATGAATATTAGCTCCTGCCTACAACCATGATGGCTACAATTCTAATCTCAAAAAAAAAAAAAAAAGTAAGATTATTTTTCAAGTTGTCTGGTTTCATTCTACAGAATACATTCCAAAGAATGACTGAAAGAATCTACACCATTCTGGATCAATACAATCACCAATATACAAAGCAAGTCCTGCTAAAATACTCTTGCCTGATCCCTAATTACCTTCATTTATGCAATGGAAGGAAATCCCTCCAACAACTCAACGTACAAGCCCGTTCTTAGCTTGATAGAGAATTTTAGTTACTATGTAAAGGAAGATGACTATGGCAGACAAAAGATTAGCCCCAAAAGGAGGTTTGGGTGGGCAGAAAAATAATGACAAAACTAGTGTGGAGAAATCATCACACATCTGCCAAGAGTTACAATGGGAAAGGAAGGCTGTATGACATTGAGGTTACTAGCCGATGTTAGAACTAAACACTCCTCATGTTTCAGTGCTTCCTACGTGAGCAGTGAAAAACAAGATCTACCAGCTGAACAAGCCACCTCTCTTCCCCCACCAGTTTGGGAAGGTAACAAGTGTTTTATTGCATTGAAATACTGGCTCCTAAGAACTTTACTGATGCTACGATTAGGATGCCTCCAATAACTAAAGTAGAGGGAGAAGCCGTTAAAATCTTAGGCTAGCAAAGAAACATTATTGCAGCAATCTTGAAACAAAATTTCTGCATCAATCTTGTTCTAACACCAGAGTTCATTTTCAGCTGTCATGCTAAACTCCAAACAATATCCTTACCGTATGCAAATATCAATAATAAAAATGGTCATTTAAACTCAAGAGAACAGTTTAGGCTTAAATAACACCTGGAAGGGCATCCTTAGGTTTTACAGTGAGTTTTTAAAAAGAGGGGCTAGTTACAATCTCATAGCTTAATGTTTTTACTTTCTGGAAAATAATTTTCTAGTATTAAAAAAGAGGAAAATTATTGCTTACAGAAATCCTCACTGTTGAGGAACAAAAGAACATACAGTTCCAACATCACAATCTAAAATCTGGATACAAGCTATTTTGAAAGAAGGGGTTAAATATGCACTGCCTAACAAGGACAGCAAAATAGCAGGCTTACCTGGTTTAAAAAAGGAATATTTGATACACTTACGCCCAAAGTCTCTTATACTTTCTATATATACAGAATCTGCAAAGGGATCATATAGTTAGGAAGGAAGGGAAGGACCTTCCCCAACTGTTCTGTCATTAAATCTATCCCCCAGAAGAGGAATATCCTCGCCACTTAAACCACTATTCTTTCCAATACAGATCGTGAGAAATCGACATGTTCCTTTCATTTCTACATCTTACTTGTACTATAAGCCTTCTCAGTTTCCCACACCCGCTGCTCCAAATCAGGGGTCTTCCAGGTATGTTTGGACTACAACTTTCCTGAGGCCCAGGCAGCACGGCCAATAGTCAGGAATTAGGAAACCCGCAGCCCGATGCATCTGAAGAGCATTAAGTTACTTAGTCCTGCCCCAAACGAATGCGCCTCTTCACCTCCCTGCTCAGTTTCCACCATCCCGCCCCTCTTCCCTGGCCCTCTGGACCATCCCGGAACCTTCCACAGCAGCTTCTTCCTGCATTCGACACGCTGCCTTAAAAACACGCACCTTCCCCCGAAACCCACCTGCCCGACTTTCGCCCACCGCTCAGCGCCGTCTTCCCAGCCCAGCCGAGCGCACGCTGCACTTCCGGTTCCGCCTGTGGTTGGCTGTACAACAAAACCACGCCGGGAACCGCCGTCCTGACGGGTCACGTGACAGAAGCCCGCCAGTCGACGCTGCTCGTGCGTTAGGGAGGTGGGGTGGTGTTTGCGGCGGGGTAAGAGCAGCGCCCATTGATGCGTTTGTTGCATGCGCTTTTCGAAAGAAAAACTTGAAGGGGGAAACCCCCTCCAGATAATGTTTCACAGAGTTCCGTTATCCCGCTGATCCTGAGGTGATTTGAATTATCCCTCAGCGCTTCTTGGGGTAGGATGAATTGTACTTTAATTATCTTGTACAGTACTTAAGTGTTCGCTTGTTTCTCTATGACACTGTTTTTCAAACTTGGCAGCTTTAAAGATGGGTGGACTTCAACTCCCCAGCATGCAGGCTGGGGAATTCTGGGTGTTGAAGTCCACCCATCTTTAAAGCTGCCAAGTTTGAAAAACACTGCTCTGGGAGCCCAAGGCAATATTCACCGTTTACATCCTCAGTGAATGGTGCTGAGCACAGTAAAGTGTGTAAACCATGAACAACTGATCTCAGTACATGTATAGGAAACTGAGTGGCTATCTTAACAAAAAAAGAACCTTGTTTCTGAATCTCTAATAATGGTGGCTGTCTTTGATAATCTGCACCCATGGTTAACTCAACAGTGGCTTATGAAATTAACCCATGTTTCCAGATTTGAACAGCAAACTGAACCATGAACTAAGCACACTGGTTGGATTCACATGATACATTAGGCCAGAATGTGGTTGGCTAGTTAGTGGTTCAGAGTGTTGTACAAACCAAGATAAATTTTAGCCACAAGTAGCTGAATTTCTCTTTGTATGAGAAAGAGGTGGTCAAACATGGTCTTTACCACTAAAGTACAGGATAAGGATACCAACTCCTATCATTTGCAGAGCTGGTCTTTCTCTACTGGACTGGCTTTGTATTTTCAGAGTTATTCAGGTACTGCATTTCAGTATGAATCAGAAGCATGCATGTAGTGATACAACCATACACTAGATATGATGTTCAAATTAAAGTTGAATTATGTGCAATAATTATAGGTAATGTGATATCTCAAGATCTATTATTCTAATTTACATTTCATGTATATCAGACCTAATGGGAGAACACTTAAATTTGGCATAATGTAACTTAATATTTTACTGTAGTTATATTAAAGCTACACAATATTTTTGAAACAGTGAGATTTCACAATAATTGGCTGTACAATGCAACTCACACATTTCAGCTGGGCAGTCCTCTGCTTGCACAAAGACTGATGCAATTCTTTTTGCAACCAGATATCTATTCATAACAGCAGAACTTTTGCCTCCAGCAGTCTTGTCTAGCTCTAATATGATTCATTATTGCATAAACAGTAGACTGACCCACATTCCTTTGAAAACTATGGGACTGATTTCTAAAGAATGTGGTATAAAATCACAGAATTAGTCTGCATAACTATTCTTTCATTTGACTTTACAAAATACAGATTTGTTTTTTAAAATATGCATAAGAATACCTATTTATTCCCTCCTCTGGCCGCCTTTTCTTTTAAAAATCTATCCAAAGAAGAGCTCTATTGTGCCCCAAATCTGCTATTTTGTAATTTCTATTTCGTTTGTTCCCCACCCTTCATCCCCAGATATTATCATATTCTTTCCTTTGGATGTCCCATCATCAGACTAATACTAATGTTTATATTCTCTGAGCTTGGTTGTTTGCTTGCAGACATTTCATTACCCAACTAGGTAACTGGGACTCCACAGTTCAACCCTGAGCTACGTGTATTCTCTTGTGGAGCCCTTGGTGCTCTCTGAGCTTGGTTGTTTGCTTGCAGAAGTTTCATTACTCGACTAGGTAACCTCATCAGTGCTAGTGAATGTGGGGTTTGCTCCCTGTTTATATACTGTACAATAGCTTGCTCTGCCAGCGTTGGTAGGGGTATGGTTTTCTCCTTGGTAGTTCCTTGAATAGGTTATCATTTTCTGCTTGATTGTCTGATGTTAATCCCTGATTATCTGGATGTAGGTTGCTGGAGAGGGTGTGTTCTGGTCTTTTTGTTTCCTTCTTAGCTTTTTTGTTGCCTCTTTTGAACGGTGTGTAAATGTGGTTTATTTCTATGTGTCTATTGATGGCTGATTTGTCTGAATGTCGAGCTTCCCGGAATTCCCTAGTATTTTTGGATTTAGCTTGGTCTAGGATGCTGAGTTTCCCAGTTGAAACTATGATTGAGTCTGTCCATGTGTTATGAGATTAAGGAGTTTTCATCGTGTCTTCTGGCTGCTAGTTGGTGTTCATGGATGCGCTCTGCTAGTCTTCTGCCTACCTGTCCTACTTAGTGGCTGTTACAGTCCTTACATTATATGTTGTAGCTTACTCCTGTTTTTTCTTCTTGGGCTACTGGGTCTTTTTGTTTTCTTAAGATGTTTTGGAGAGCTTTAGTTGGTTATGTGCTATGGTGATGCTGTGTGGTTGTTAATAGTCTGTTGGTTGTTTCTGAGATGTTTTTGATGTATGGCAGTGTATCCTTTTCATAGCTTGGACTGGTTGTGCTATAGTGGGTTGAGTGGTCAGGCACTTTTTGATAAAGTTGTGTGGGTATCCATTTTGTTGGAAGATGTTGTGTAGGCGGTCTGTTTCCTTTTTCTGGTGTTCTGGGTTGCTGCAGTGCATTTGTATTCATCTGAATAATGTTCTTACACAGCTCCGCTTGTGAGATATTGGATTGTTACTTTGGTAATGGAGCACTTGGTTAGTGTGGGCTCTTTTTTGATAGACTTGCATTTCTAATTTACTGTTGTTTCCTCTGCTGATTAGGATATCCAGGAAGGGTAATGTGTTGTTGTTTTCTTCTTCCCTTGTGAATTTTATTCCTTGAAGATGTTGATTGTTTCGTGTGTCTTCTCTAGTTGTTCTTTTTTTATTGTGATGAAGGCGTTGTCTATATACCAGATCCATACTTTTGGTTGTATGCGTGGGAGTGCTATAATGTTGGCCAGAAGGCTGGCTAAGTTTGTTCACATGGTGTAAGAGAGCCAATGTCCACACAGAGTCAAGGGAAAGACAATTTCTTTATTTCTATACAGAGGCAAAGAGAGGTGCACAAGGGGCTATGCCCGCAAAAAGCACACACACACCAGTTCAGTGGGCTACATTTTATAGCATTCTCTACAACATTACATACAATCTCATTGGCAAACATAATCATATCACACCTTCTAGGTGGGCTCTCTTGCAGTTGTCATGTTGAACTACCTAACTTCCTTATTCTCCATCTTGGGAGGTGCACTTAATTAACTATGCATCCCACCTTTGTGTGTGCTTTTTACTATGTTAATGATGAACTTTGGTGCTCTTTGTAACCTACGTACGGGTCCTTGGCCTACATATGCAAGCAAAAACACTAGATGGGCCAGATGGGAAACTATCTTCCACTTAATTCTTGTGCCAGACAGAAAGAGTTTAACCACAGTGTCCTTTATTTCCTGATGAAGGAAGCAAGACAGATACGTACATCTGATAACAGTTCTTGGCTAACAGCTTCCTAAAGCGCTATACCTATGAACTAAGTAAAAGCTGGAACATCTGCAAATAGGCTACTTCCAATAAAGAATTCCAACATCAGGCCCTCAATAGTTTCTAGATGCTGCTTTACAGTCTCTGCTATGAGTCCTGAGAGTAGTGATCCCATGGGTTTTCCTCTGATTTGTTGGTTATTTGTCCATCAGACTGAAAGTAGGCAATGAGGCAGAGGTTGATGAGGTTCATGATTCCATGTACTTCGATCTTAGTGTATTTGGTTGGGTCGGGTGTGTTGTATAGTACTGCTGCCATGGATTTTTTCACTAGTTCTGGATCTATGGACATAAATAGTGCTGTGACATCAAATGAAACCATAATTTCATCTTCTATTTTTAGGTCTTTAATTTTCTGGAGGCACTGTAGTGGGGAGTTGATAGAATATTCGCTCCCCTCTGTGAGATGTCCAAGCTTTTTTGTAAGTTCTTTGGCTATGTTCTTTATGTTTATGTTCTTTATGTTCTTTGGCATAATTTCATCTTCTATTTTTAGGTCTTTAATTTTCTGGAGGCACTGTAGTGGGGAGTTGATAGAATATTCGCTCCCCTCTGTGAGATGTCCAAGCTTTTTTGTAAGTTCTTTGGCTATGTTCTTTATGTTTATGTTCTTTATGTTCTTTGGCTATGTTCTTTCTCTTCTGAACGTTTCCCTCACCACCCTCAGAATACCTTCTGTTTCGTATACAGTACATTTAGAAAGTATGTTTTAAAGTGGGGAGGTTGATTCAGCCCAGGCCCTCAAGCAAGCAGCTAGCTGTGAAGCATGTGGATTGCCTGGGGCTGGGGTTCTCGCTTCTAGTCTCAGGGCAAGCATCCCTGCCTTCCTATTTATTCCCACCTCTTGAGCCTCCCCATTATTACCAAACCACCCCAGAGGTCCCTCAGTGAATATAAACACTACAACAAAACATAACCAAACAGATAAAAATACAGCAACAACCCCCAAGGGCAATGTAATCTAAGTTGCAATAGCTCCCCCAGGTGGAGCTTCCCCATGGGAGGGGAAGAGATGGTCCTGTAGCCGACCTCCTCCTTCACCTTCACCAGGTACACCAGAATGTTAGCATAGAAGTTTGTTATGGAATTTTCCCATGGAAACTCCCACTTCCCTGCCTGGCTCAGCCATGGGCTGCTAATGTGATAGAGGCTGGTACAAATAGCACATGGACCAACAAATAGCACATGGACCACCTCAGAGCTGGAGCTGGGACATGTACGGTTTGTGGGTGAGCCCATTGACAGTTCCCTGAAAATATGTATAAATCTTGAAGCAATCTTCCTTTTCATCACATTTCCCCCCACAAGCTCATTGGTATTTTCATCCATCTTGTGTCATCCCTTTTCAGTTTTCAAAAACATTTTAAAACAAAGAATAATACAAAAAACACAGGAAGGGACAGAAAGGAAGAAAGGGGCGTCAGTCATCCT